CACTATGCCACCAGAGCTCCCATAACCCCTCACAGTACTATAAAATTCCTTATTGCCCAACCTTCCTTCCAAGGAGTGGCTGGTGGGTTTGAACTACCAGACTTCTGGTTAGCAGTCAAATGCCTTAGGTACTACACCACCACAGCTCCCACAAATAGTGGCAGATTTGTAAATATAAGTGGTAGACCTGCCCACCACATCAAGTAAGAGCTCCAAGTTCAAGGTAGTGCCAAAGGATGTGTTTGGTGAAATGTGCATAAAATGAATCTGATTTTACCATTTTTTTCTATAGAAAATAATTTATTATTATTATTTTTTAGGTGTAACATTTGTTGGATTTAAAAATATTTGTTCAGGTGAGACTAATGTAATATTCATTACTAACCCTTTAAATGAGGATCTACAACACCCAATCCATGTGAAGAACATACAGCTGGTTGATTCTACTGAACAATCAAAAATATTTATACACAGGCCTGATGTAAGGTAAAATATATGAAAATTCAGTTGTTTTCTTTCCTATTTTTACATTTTTCCATTCCCCTTTCCTTGCCATGGATCTGAGAAAGTTACTCTTAAAATAATTACTAATTTCTATAAATCTTTAATCAGCATTATGAAAATTAAAACTACTTACTAACATAAATCTAAGTGTTCTCAGTTGAATGTAAGAAGCTGGGACTTAATATGTCTATTTTCTCACAGTGTTTCTTTCATGCATTATCAGTAATACAACCATTAAATATAAAAAAAGATATAGATGGGTCAGAGGTGTTTTCTATATTAATAGCTCGTCATTAATTGTTGTTCTTGTTATGTGCCGTCGAGTCAGCCCTGACTCATAGTGACCCCTCCTTGGGTTTCCGAGGCAGTATCACTATGGAAGTAGGATTGCCCAACCTTCCTTCCGAGGAGTGGCTGGTGGGTTTGAACCACCAGCCTCCTGGTTAGCAGTCAAGTGCCTTAGCCACTATGCTACCAGAGCTCCCCCTCGTCATTAATAGTCATAAGTAAAAGACACCACTGTAATTTCTTTCTTTTCATTACCTCCTTTTCTACCAGTTATTCTCTAATTATCTTATCACATGTGCCCCAACTTGAACTTGGAAATTAAATATTGGTCATTTTAATCACTGTGATTGTGAATATGCAGAAATTTAGAATAGTGATTTTTTTTTTCTGATCAGCTGTTACCAAAATATTTCTAGAGACCCAGTACTTAGATTCATAGTTTTAGAAGATATAACATTTCATGAGAGGCATAGACCAGAAATTTAGATATTAGATTTTTTTGATGGCTATTTCCATGGCTAGGAGCTCTAGTAGGGTCTCTTCAAGGAGTGTATCTATCTATTGTAAATATTCAGCTCATTTGCCTGTCTTTTGTTTGGCTGGAAGCCATAGGAGTGGGTTAAATACCATACCTGAAGGCAACTAGGGGCCATAGTCTCAGTGGTTCCATCAGACTCTATCAGACCAACAAACCTGGTCCTTTTTTGATGATTTTGAGTTTTGTTCCACATTGTTCTCCCACTCTATCTAGGATCTCCTACAGAGATCCCCATCTGAGTGGCTGACAGTGGTAGCTGGACACCATCATATATGATCTCATGGTCATATATGCTGCAGATCGCGTGGTGTACCAGTCACTTGGACTCATTGTTTCCATGTGTCTTTGGTTTTCTTCATTCTTCTTTGCTCTGGACAAGAGAGACCCATCATTGCATGTAGATGGCCTCTTGCAAGCTTTTAAGATCTCAGTTGCTACTCACCGAAGTAGGAGGTGGAACAATGTTTTGCGTAGTATGTTACGCCAATTGAGCTTGATGTCCCCTGCAACCATGGTCCCAAGCCCACACTACTTGGTCTACTACTTGGACTCCACCAAGTCCAACTACTCGGTCCCTTTGGGTAGCTGGCTGTGGCCAAGAAGTGACTACAGCCTTGCCCTTTGTCCACTCTACTATATACCCAGGAATTCTTACAGAACATACAACTACACTTGTAGAAACATTGTCTGCCAACCCTATACATGGTTTTGGACACACTCCCCACTGCATTGACATACCTAATAGTTCAGCCTGTCCACTCATCTATCCGCCCGTATATCAATGTTTGCCTTCACTGACAACACAGTACTGTATGTGCAAAAGGGTTCATCTTTGCTGTCTGTACCTCCCATACACCTCTCTATGTCTTCCTCTTCCTCTTCCTCAATGCCACAGTGTTGCTCACTCACATTTGGTTTATTGCCCTTCCCTTCACCCAAATCAGTGCTTGTCTCTACCTATCTAACCTATCCCCTCCACTACCTTCTCACCCCTGGTAACCAACAAACAAAATTTCCTTCCATAGATAAACCTTTCCTTGACTATTTACAATAACAGACTAATACAATATCTGTATTTCTGTGATTGACTTATTTCACTCAGTATAATGTCCTCCAAATTCATCCACGTTATGCGGTGTTTTGCTGACTCTACATTATTACTCTTTATGGTTGCATAGTATTCCATCGTGTATATGTATATATGTATATAGTTTGGTTATCCATTTTTCTGTTGATGGGCACCTAGGTTATTTCCATATTTTGGCTATTGTAAATAGTGCTACAATGAACATGGATGTGCATATGTCTGTTCTTGTCCTGGTTCTCACTTTTTTAGGATATATACCTAGTAATGGAATTGCTGGGTCAAATGGTATTTCTAATTGCAACTTTTTAAGGAATCGCCATACTGCTTTCCACAATGGTTGCATCATTTTACAGTCCCACCAGCAGTATATGAGAGTCCCAATCTCTCCACATCCTTCCCAGCATTTGTTATTTTCTGTCTTGTACTTTGCTACTAGTGCTAGAGCAAGATGGTATCTTATTGTTGTTTTGATTTGGATCTCTTTGATGGCTAATGATGGTGAACATTTCTTTGTATGTTTGTTGGCAGCCTTAATATCCTCTTTGAGAAGTGTCTATTCATGTCTTCTGCACATTTTTAAATTAGATTATTTGTCTTTTTGTTATTGAGGTGTTAAGAGTTTTCTATAAATTATAGAGATAACTCCATTGTCAGATATTTCATTGCCAGGTATATTTTTTCCCAATCTGTAGATTCTCTTTTGACTCCTTTTTGGAGAAGTCTTTGGAAGCACATAAAAGTTTAATTTTGAGAAAGTCCCATTCATCCAGTCTATCTTCTGCTGTTTGTGCATTTTGGGTTGTGGTTGATAGTCTATTCCATATATTGTTGTTGTTGTTGTTATGTGCCCTAAATTTGCCCCTAGTTTTTCCTTGAGGAACTTGATAGTTTTAGGTTTCACATTTAAGTCTTTGATCCATGTGGAGTTAGTTTTTGTGTATGGGGTGAGGTACAGATCTTGTTTCATTTTTCTGCAAATGGATATCCACTTTTGCCAGCACCATTTGTTAAACAGACAATCTCTTCCCCATTTAATGTATTTTGGCCCTGTGTCAAAGATCAGCTGACCATAGGTTGATGGATCTATTTCTGGGCTCTCAATTCTATTCC